AACGATTTACTTTGTATTTGCATTTATTAGGTATTACAAGTAATCTACAGGTGATTTAAAGTACATGGGAGTCTGGGGCAGGCTATGTGCAAATACTGTGGCATCTGATATACAGGCCCAGAGGGACTGTACAGGAGGGAGGAGGCCAGTAGCGGGGTCAATGAAACCAAAGGATTACACAAAACAAAACTAAATTAACAACAACAAAAAAAAATCCACAGCAAATGAACAGTGGGGTCAGGCGTCGTGGCACACACCTGTAATCCCAGCACTTGAGAGGCCCAGGCAAGAAGATTGCCGCAAATTTGAACCAACCTGGACTACACAGCGAGACTCTGTCTCAAAAAAGACAAACCAAAACAAAAGCGGACCGTGGTTTACTTGGGATTTTGGCAGCCAGGGGCCATGATAACCTATACACTGCAGACAGAAAATCCGCCTCGGAAAGCCAATACACTTCTATCACTAGGTACAAATGCAACAAACGCCTCCTGCCCCGGAGCCTGAAAACTAGACTGTGTGGCCCACGAGGCGTCACCGCGGCCAAGGAAACAAGCCGCCAGGTCTTGGCCCAGACTGTAGACCCGGCGCAGCGATAACCCGAGACCTGGTAACAGCAGTAGCGCCTCCAGCGTCGATGACGTCACCGCTCGCGGGGAGCATCGCGAGACTTCCTATTCCGGTCCCCCAGCGGCTGCTTCCCACCCGCCCGCGTCCGCTGCTAGGGAGCGGCGGGGATGGCGAGTCGCGCAGCGCGGGTGGTGACGAGAGCAGCGGCTCCGCCATTGGGCGAGGAGGCCTGAGGGACAGGCCGGCTTGGCGCACAAGGAGAGACCGAGGCGGGTAGCCCCGAGAGAGTGAGGGCCATGGAGGCCAACGTGCCGAAGCGGAAGGAGCCTAGCAAGGCTCTCCGCATCAAAGTCATCTCCATGGGCAACGCTGAAGTGGGGAAAGTGAGTAGAGCGTGCCGGGAGGGGTGGGACCTCCGCGCGACGGGGCGGCGAGCCCATTGGCTGAGAGGGCGGCCACTCAAGAGCGGGTCCGGCCTCTTCTCCGTCCTCCCGCCTGGCCCCCCCCCCCCAGCTGGCCAGCGCTTGCAAGGGTGTTGCGGCCCCGCGAGGAGCACCGGCCTGACCTCTTTGACCTTTGGGTTATCCCCTGTCTACCGACTTCTTGCCCTCTAAATGGTGCCTGGGGTGACCTCCAACCTTGAATGCTACCCCAGAGAGTAAGGGGGCCTAGGTCCTTAGTTCGGATGGTCTGGTCAGATACCAGATCTGTGTTCTGTCTGAATGACCTGTCTTGGACCTGGACAGGGGAATAAAAGTTGTGCTTGGGAATCGATGGAGCTTAAAGGGGGTGCGTGTGAGGGGTAGGCAGATTTACTGGGCATTCCGGAATGTCCCCCTTGCGAGAGCATAAATGAAGCCGACTTGTTTCACAGAGAAGGTGGCAGCGTGGCCTGGATCCTGCCGATTATTTTGTTTGTTCGTTCATTCATTCATTCATTCAAAATCTGTAGAGTGTCACTACATCTGTTTTCTCAAAGCAGGCTCAGTTCTGCCACCCACCTCTCTGCTACTTCCATGGGATGTCAGGTATGCCTGGCGAGAGGTCAGAGGGGAGCTCAGGCTTTTTCCCAGTGAATTCCAGGGCTGACTCCTCTGCCCTGGTTGTCTTTCCTGGGCTAGTGAAAAGTGTTAGCCAAAAGCTGCCCAAGGTCATCGAATCAGTGACAGAACTGGAACCAGCACCATCATTTGCCACGACTGAATGTTAGGAGAATTGGTCTGAATTGGAGAGCTGTGAATGTGAGTTTTTAGGCCAGTGTCCTGCGCTCAGAACACTGCAGGAAACGTGGGTTAGTTTTTTTTTGTTTGTTTGTTTGTTTTTTTTTCTATTAGCATGATGTTGCACTATTTATGTGTCTTTGTATGGGAGGCATTAACAGATGTTCATTGAATGTTGGTAATTATTGAAAAACAATTATATGTCAGGAATTAAAAAGGGGGGATAGGCTTTTTAGACTTAGATTATATACTAACCTGGCAAAGTGATCATATATCACTTGTGATTTTACTCTACATAATGGTACAAGAACTGAAATATCCCCAAATGTCACACATTTATTTAATATTATTCTAGGTTTCTTAGCCAATGCAGTTTGAGAAGAGAAAGAAAATATTTACAACAGCAACCAAAAGAAAGTGTCTCAGCTTATTTAATAAAAAATAACCATTTGAAAACTCCAAAAGGAACATACAGTTATAATATTTGTGCAAACGGAAAGATACTCTCCCCCTACATAAAAGCCCTCAATATTATTCAGATCAGTTATTTAAAATAATCTACAAATGTTAATTTATTTCCAGTTAAAACGCCAGTCACATTTCTTTTTCAGAACATAAGAAAATCACTGAAGTCCTTATGAAAAGCTGGGTATGGTGATACATGCCTCTAATCCCAGCACTGAGGAGGCGGAGGCAGGAGGATCACAGAATTCCAAGTTAGCCTGGGCTATAAAATGAATTCAAGACTAGCGTAAACTAAGTAATGAATCCCTGTCTCACCTCCCCAAAAAAGTCCTTATGAAAGCTAAAGATGATACAGCAATTAACCAGTAGGAAGAATGTATGCAATGTGTTAATTATTGAAACTGTCCTACCAATTTGATTTGAAACTATCTCATTGCTATTTGTTTATCAATAAAATTATGGAAAAATTAAAAAAAAAAAGAAAGTTAAAGATGAGAACAACCAAGAATATTGTGAAAAGAGAAATGAGACTAACTCCACTCCCTCCCCCCCACCCCCCACTCCTGGTACCAGGGATTGAACTCAGGACCTTGCACTTGCCAGACAAGTGCTTATTCTACTGAGCTGTCTCCCTGGCCCTCCACCTTTTTCTTTTTCTTTTTTCTTTTTTGTATTTTTAGGGAAGGGTCTACAGGGTGTTCAGGGTCTCACTACTAGATCAGACTGTAGTGATCCTCCTGTTTACAGCCTCCCAAGATCTGGGATTACAGGTGCACTCCACCACACCCAGTCTGGGGATGGGGCTGGCATGGCAAGCTGGGGGAATGAACCCTGAGCCCCTTTGCCTGATTGCAGGCGCTTTAGTCCACTGAGCTATTTGGCTGGCCCGCCATT